GGGGGGCGAGGAGGGCAGAGGACGGGGGAGGCGACAGGGATCGACGATAAGTCAGTGCCGGCCCCGGCCGATGGGGACCAAGCGAAAGGCAGGCCCTGTCGCCGGCGCAGAGAGGATGGTGGAGCTCGAACGCACCGGGGTCAGAGTGGCTGACATCAGGACCACCTGGAAGATCTGGGGAGTGAAGGTCAGCAGTGTGCGGACATCCTCGCTATAACCGAAGGACAGGATGAGGTCCGCCTCATCGATGACCAAGGTCTCGAGGGATTCCTTGATGCTGAGCACCTGTGTCCGAGGCCGCGGAGGAAGGGCGTCAGAGAGGGCGTGTCGCGAAGGCGGGGGGGGGGGGGGGAGGAGGGGGAGAGAGAGAGAGAGTGGAACGGAGTTGGTGGGAAAGAACGTCAGCAGGGAGACGCAAGTGGCGGAGCACAGGGCAGCGGGCAGGGGGCACATACACCGCTCTCGAGGTGGCTCACAACACGCGGAGTGGATACAATGATGTCTGGGCACTCGGCCAAAAGAGCCCTGCAGGAACCGGGGAGACAGAAGATGTTAGTCTCCCGGGGGGGGGGGGAAGGCAAAATACGCAGCAACCCAAAAGGAGAGGGGGGATGCCGGGGAGCCGGAGCAGACCACGCACTTCTGAGACGCAGGGCTCAAATCCGAAGAGAGCTGCACAACGTGGACATTCTGTGCGCAATGAAGCGTGAGATGCCGGCAATACTGGAAGACCTGCTCCAGCAGCTCACGCGTCGGAACCAGGAGCAGGGCCTTGACACCGGTGTAGTTGGGGTCGCGCTGGGACAAACACACGAGGGGTGAGCGACCGGAGGGAAAGATCGGACGGAGGAGGGAAAGGGGGGCCGTTGACAGGACGGGGCGCAGGCCACGGGCCAAGCGACGACGTCGAGATGGAAAGAGAGAGAGAGAGAGAGGAAGAGAGAAGGGGCATGGGAGATGGGCAAAAGGCATACCTCCTTGGCGTTGAGCACACGCTGGATGGCCGGCATCACGTAGGCGGCCGTCTTGCCGGAGCCGGTCTTTGCGCGGCAGAGGATGTCCTTTCCCTGGGGGGGGGGGGACAAAGCAAGAGCAAACCAAGCCCAGGGTGGGGGAGGGGGGCGGGACGCATGGATGTCAGTTCGGGGCGCATGGCTCGGCAAAGCTGGGAGAGACACGGAAGGAACCGGGATCTGCGACGCACGGCCAGGGCCAGGGGGATCGACTCGCGCTGGACCATGTTCGGCTCCGCGAGGCCCATGCGCAGGGCTGCCTTGCCAATTCGGCTATCCAGGCCGAGCTCCTCCCAGGTAACCGACTGGTGCTCCTGGTCGGCCGGGGCGTCCTCGCCCAGGAAGGCGGCCGCGGCCATGTGGGGCGCCACAAGCGACATGGACATGCTCACGACGGGGAGAAGGAAAGGAGGGGGGGGGGAAGGGGAGGAAGGGAAAGGGGGGAGAGAGGAGGAGCAGAAGGGTGTAGAAAGGCTGGGGGATGGAGGAGTAGGGGTCTCTCCGTGGGAGGAGGCCAACAACCTGAGCTCGAAAAATACCCGCCATCCCTTTCATCGAGCCGGCCTCTCCCCCCTCCGCCCCCGCCGGGGACAGCCAAAACAACCACCCCGGAGATCGCCACCGGACGAGTGGGACTGGCCCCGCATGCCTGCCGGTGCGCTCGCAGGCGGCCGCGGGCCGCCCCCGCGCGCACGCACACACCCACACACATGCGGCATCCGACCGGGCGCATGTGCCCGCGGCCGGCCGGCCGGCTGGCCGACCCGAGGCCGAAGAGGGGACGGGGACACGCTGCCTGGTGAGAATGGCCGAGATCGTCCCAGCAAGCACAAGGCAGGGGCAGCGCATGGCTGCCGATGGATCACGCGCCTCGGCGCCGGTGGCGGGCAGGGCTCGTGATGTCCCAAATGACATTCCCTTGTATCACACGGCGATCATTCGCTGCCCGATCCGCCCCGCCCCAGGCGCCGATAGAGCCCCCCCCCTCCAGCCCAGGGAAGACCCAGGGGGACACACAGCCTTTCCGTGGTCCCGGCGAGAGGCATGTGCCTGGCGAGAGAGACGGAGAGAGAACGAGAAGGAGAGAGGAGCCCACATCCCCTCCCCCGGCGCCGCCTGCGTGTGGGACATTTTTTTGGTGCCCCCCGACCCGGCCACTGACGCCCCGGCGCGCAGAGCATCTACAGCTGTCTCCTCTCCTCCTTCCTCTCCCAACAGCCCTCTCCCCCTCCCTCCTTAGTCATGGTATTTCACTTGTTTCTGGCCCCTCTTGTCCCCTCTCTTCCCCCCCTCCCCCCCCCCCCAGATCCCCCTCTGACACCTCCGCGCCATCCCCCAGCTTTCCCGCACTGCCCTGTTTGCCGCTACCCTGAACCGCACTGCTCTGCGTGCGGCTGCCGCCCGGCCGGCCGTTGCCCCGCTCATGGCCATGCGCTCCATGTCTAGCGTCAGCCCGGATCTGCTCCAGCAGCTGGACAAGGTGCGCTTTCCCCGGGGCCCCCTTTGCCTCCTGCGCTCGGCCTGCATCGTGGGACTTGCCCGCACTCGGAGCCACTGACACCCCTCGCCCCTCCTTCCGACTCGACGCAGACCATCAAGGACAACGACATTGTCGTCTTCATGAAGGGCGTTCCCGAGGCCCCCCGTGTGCGTCTATGTTCCCCTGCACGGCTCCCCTCTCTCTCTCTCTCTCTTCCTCTCTCGGGATGTTGGGATCCCGGCCCGTGTTCTAACCCTCGTCTGTTCTCTCCCGCTCCCGCTCTCTCTCTCTCTCTCTGTCTCTCTCCCGCCTCCCCCTCTGCCCGCTCCCTCTTTGCGCGCCTGATCTCAGTGCGGCTTCTCTCGCGGTGTGGTCCAGCTGATCGGTGCCGCCGGTGTCTCGGAGTTCAAGGCCATCGATGTCCTCGAGTCCGACGAGGTTCGCCAGGGCATCAAGGATCTCTCGTGCGTGTGCCCTTGCCGTCCCGTGTGCCCGCCGCGCCCCCCCTTTCTCATTCGGTCCCCCTCTTGTGCCCTTCCATTTCCCCGGCGGCCCCGCGCCATGCTGACTCCCCTTTTCCAAACAGCTCCTGGCCCACCCTTCCCCAGGTCTACATCAAGGGCGAGTTTGTTGGCGGCTTCGATATCGTCTCTCAGCTGTACAGCTCCGGCGAGCTCCACAACATGCTCCGCACCCACAACCTCATCCCCACCGAGGAGAAGGCCTCCGAGTAAGGCCCCGCCCCCATTGCTTGCGGTGCTGCTGCCGGGCTTCTCTGCCTGTGCGTGTGTGTCTGTGTGTCTGTGTGTCTGTCCACGCACGCACGCGCGCACGCACGCACAATTCACATATACATAAAACCGTGTACTATCCTCTACCATGGGCGCCGCCGAAGGGGGGGGGGGGGGCACCGGGGCGCGGGGATATGCTTGCAACCATGTACGCATCAAGGGAAAGGTGTCTCCAAGGAATCTATCAACAGGCGTATGAGGGTGTGGGGGCGGGCTGGATCAGACCGACTTTCGTCCGGCCACACCGATCAGGAACTTTCGCAGGAGAACCTGGGCCCGGGCCGAATGTCCAATGTCCAGGAAGGCCTCAGTGGCGTCACGCCCAGCGTGGCGCAAGATGATCCGGGCACCGCCGCTGCGATTGAGTCGGCGGGGGGGGGCGGGGGGAGGTTAGACCCAGGGGTAATGGGCGCAGGAAGGGCGCCGTGAAAGCAACAGCCCCGACTCGACGCACGGATGGTCATTCAGAAAAGCCGTCACATCGTAAACTCGCCCCTCGATGATGATCCAACAGTCATCGGCGCTATTGTGCATGGCGATCTGCAAAACCCGGACACCATGGCGTCAGCATCAGGCGAAGGCATGGAAGACATCCGGCACAAGGCGGACAGCAAAGGCCGAAGCGTGGCCAACAAGCATACCTCTTCGCGGGAGTACGTGGCGAACCGGGGGAGGGAGTCCTCTACCGGGCCGGTTTGGCTCGAGCATGCGTTGTCCATTGTCCTAGACAGGAACAGGGGGTGCCGGGTGGGGGAGGGAGGATGCAAGGGAAACGAGGAGACAGAGAGAGAGAGGGAGAAGGAGGAGGAGAGAGAAAGAAGGGTTGAGGGGGGGAGGGGGGCGCAACCAGGCCACTCGAGGTGTATTATTTGATCTGCGGGCTCCTCGAGGACCAGAGCAATGGCTTGTTTTTCCCTCACCTTCTCCCAAGCACATTGAATACACACACACAGAGAGAGAGCGAGAGAGAGAGAGAGAGAGAGAGAGAGAGAGAGAGAGACCGAGAAGCACGCCCACGCATGCATGCACACATTTAAAGATCTCTCTCCATTTGTCCCTGGTCCCCACCGAGAGCCAGATGGCACATAGGGGGGGGTGCGCCATCCGCGAGACAGCCCCCGGGGAGACAATCGTGCGCATGTGGCGTTGGCAGTTGCCGACCGGCCGTTAGATTCCGTCCCGGACTCTGGTGCCTGGCGGAGGGCAGAGGCACGGCCAGCCGGTGCCCATGCATGATCGGCCGCGGGATCGGGAGGGGGCGCCTCTGTTCCTCACCCACCGGTGGCCACAGACCAGGTCACTCCCCCCTCCCCCTCCCCCTCGCGCACCCGTCCCTGCCCCTGCTCCCGCCCATCCGGCTTTTTTTTTTGAGTCACTGCCACCACGTCCCATCCGGCCGACACGCGTGCACCTCTTGCCATCACTCGTCTGCTGCATGTACACACGACATGGAAGGGAGCTTCTCCACTGAGCTACAGACGGCCCGAAGTCTGGCTCTTGTCTGCAAATACGACCAGGCCCAGGTCCAGTATGCGTTCGTCATCAACGAGCTGACTCGGTGCGTGAGTGGCCCTCGCTCGGCCGGTCCGACACACCTGGACTCGCCCAAATGCGCTCGCACACACACACACACACACACACACACACACACACAAACGCATGGCCGCACGGTCGCATAATACGGTCACTGACAAACATCATTTCCGGACAGAATGCTCCGCACCTTCACCGGCCCGGAGGCCTTTCTCCACCGGGAAAAGCTTGAGCTGGCTCGAGCGGAACTGCACAAAGAGCTGACCCTGGTCAAGCAACTGGAAGCCCGTCGTGCCGAGCTCAGGGTGCGTCGTGGACACTGCCTGCGCAAACTCCCCCTTCGCCGTCCACTCCCCTCCTCCTCCTCCTCCCCCTCGCCTGCCCTCTCGCGTTTGTCTTTCTCACGCACACGCATATGCAATATGCATATCGCCGCATGTACGCTGTGGATGCCCTTCCGGCCAGTCTCGTGCTGGCCCGGTGGTGCGGCGCCTTCTGCCCGCTCGTGAGCCGGCGGCCGCCCCGGAAAAACGCCCACGCTTTGATCCCGCGCCCGCACCGGCCTCCCCGCGCCGGGTAGTGGCCCCCGCCCGGCACTCGCCCCTCCGCAGCGCGGCTCCCGCCTCCACAATCGGCCAAACAACACCAGTATCGCGGCCCAGCCGGCCGGCCGGGTACATCCCCCCGTCAGTGGTGTCGCCTTCGCGGAATATGGCCACCGGGGCCGGCCCTGCCGGCACTTCGGCCGTCTCCGGCCCGGAGAATCTGTACAACCGCGCGCGCGACATGGCCGCCCGACGCCAGGCGGCTGCCGCCGGCGGGACCGGCTCTCAGGCAGCCGCCCGGACGACGGCCCCCACACCGGCACGGCCAACACGTGCGGCTCTGGCCGCCCGGTTTGCGCCTCCGGCCGATGTCGGCCTCATGCCCACGGCCCTCGGACACCGGGTGAGTCTGCCCGGCGGTGGGGTGCCTGCCTCGGGCGCTGGTGCTGGCGCCGGCGCCGGCGCCGGGCCACGTACTCCCGGCCCCGGTGCTGGGCGGATACAACACCACCAGCCCGCCGCCAACAATCCACCCACCCCACGCGGCCCGGGGACCATGGAATCGGACCTGCTGCCGGGCGAGCAGGCGCCCCTCATCCGGCGCTTCGTGCCCTCCTCCACCGCTGACCAGGAGTTGGTTGACATGCTGGAGCGGGAGATCCTGGTCCGGGACACGCGCGTCCGGTGGGATGATGTGGCTGGCTTGGACTCGGCCAAGCTGCTTTTGCGCGAGGCGGCAGTCTTGCCGCTGCTCATGCCGCAGCTCTTCCGCGGCATCCGCCGGCCCTGGCAGGGGGTCCTGCTGGCCGGTCCACCTGGCACCGGGAAGACCCTCCTGGCCAAGGCCGTGGCCGCCGAGTCGGGGACCACCTTCTTCAATATCACGGCCGCCACGCTGGCCAGCAAGTATCGGGGCGAGTCGGAAAAATTGGTCCGAGTGCGTGTGCAGCTCCCCGCTGGCCCCGACCCCGTGCGGGGACAGGCTGGCCGACTGCCCTTTCCCGGGCCTCCACCCGGTTGCTAACCATCACCGCCACCACCGCCACCACCGCCACCACCACGCATAGCTTCTCTTTGAGATGGCGCGCTTTTACGCCCCGAGTGTGGTCTTCATTGATGAGATTGATTCGCTGTGCTCGACACGCGGCAGTGCCGGCGAGCATGAGGCCTCGCGTCGAGTCAAGTCTGAGCTACTCATGCAGATGGATGGTGTGTCGGCCGCCGTGGCCGAGGCTCCGCCCCCCTCGCCTGCCCCATTCACCCCCTCTTGCTCTCAGGGGCCGGTGGATTTGGGTGACTCGGCCGGGCCGCCACCGGCCGGTGATGACGCCGAC